TGGCTAAATCTCCAATAAAATATTCAGCATTAAAATGTTTATAATCCCTAACTTCTTTCACATTAGGTTTAAGTTTTGGAAGGGTGAACTTCCTGACCACATAAATCAAACTATGGTCAGACATCCCCAGATCTATTACACCAGACGTCGAAATGTTTTCTTTAGCATTAATTAAGACCAAATCAATCAAGGTCGCCGAGGTGTTGGTCTCTCTTGTAGGTTTATTAATTAATTGGTCGTGTATGGGCATCTGGTGAGGTTTTCATAACATCGCAGTTAATATCACCAATTATAATCAATATAGAACTATCATTATACAGGGTATATCAAAAAAAACTGAACAGATTTAAAATTGCTCTCAATTTCACAAAACAGCTATTTGTATCCGGTTTTATATATATATGGCCTCTTTGGGTACTTATAATGTAGAATAATGAGAAAAATTTCTCGAACTCAAATTTTGTGAACCAGGGGGGTGTGTCTTTTCCAACAAACTAAGAACGGCTCGCGCACAAAATTTAAAAGCTGCAATCATATTTTGAGTTAACAGATGGAAAATTTGTCGGGATTTTAATTACTGTACAAAATTTCAGACAATTTGGTTTAGTTTAAGCTCCTTAACTATTCACGCAAAGTTACAATTTTCCCGAAAAATCAGCTATTTGCATGCTTAATTAATGCATTTGCCTAATTTGCATATGTCAGCAATATGCAAATTATAGTCGGCCGGCCAAGGTGGCAAAAAGTGCCTCTAAAGAGAGTTCGATGGCAACTTTATGTTAGAAGCTGGTAACAGGCATTTTCTTATAGTTCAAGCCTTGGTGAATAAGACTGTGTGTGTTACCACTTCTGATTTTTGCTTTATAGCCAAAAATTTGAGAATTTTTAAATTTTGCCTATTAAATTACTATGATCGGAAAAAATGTAAAATTCCATGTTCTCTTATACGAAAAATAAACTATACCACTAGAAAGAGCGTAAAAATCTATATATAAGACAATTAAGTGAGTTCTACGTTTTTCCAATCCTATTTCGAGTTTTTAATGTTAAAAAATGCAGAAATGACCAAATTAATGCTAATTAGTACCCATTTTTCCAACTTTAACCATCTTTAATTCAAAATCGGCTTGAAAATCGCACTAGTCGCTTAATTATCTTATATATAGATTTTTGCGCTCTTTCTAGTGGTATAGTTTATTTTTTGTATAAGAGAACATGAAATTTTACATTTTTTGCCATCATAGTAATTTGCCAAGATGGCGGCTATGTATGAGCTCCCGAAGCGATTGATATATTTTTTGGTCTTGCTGATTGTTTGTGTGTCATTCTATCCCGCTAAAGATGGTTATGTTGATAAGAGGTCGCATCCATGGAATATTGGTATTAGCGTTGCTTTAAACCTTACTAAAATCGAGATTGTTGATGCCCCTATGAGACCAACCAAAACCAGCATTGCGAAGTCAGCTGTTCCTTTCGATGTAAAGTTGGTAAGATCGATTAAACTTGTCACCCAGTTTGCTGCTGTTAATGTTCTTATTGTGTGTAATGATATTGACTTAAACCCTGGCCCTGCGAATGAGACATTGGTCTGCACTGCGTGTTTAAAACCTATAGGCAAAAATCAACCGCGGGCGGAATGTTTAAGATGTAAATCAGTAAATCATTTGAAATGTCTTGAATCGAGTTTTGATATAAACCGAACCTGCAAGCAATGTTTCGTAGGAATGAATGGCAATATTAACAACGATAACGATGATTACTGTTCTCAAGTGACAACGGAAATGAATGATATATTTCGGGGCTCAGGTGTTAAAATAGTCCATCAAAATATTCGCAGCTTGTTACCTAAGATTGATGAGCTTCGTTTGCTCATATCTAGTGTTCAGTCAAAAATTGATTTGTTTACACTGTCCGAAACCTGGCTTACGGATGATGTTGCTGACTCAGAAGTTAGTATTGAAGGATATACTTTCCATAGAAGAGATAGAGGTTCTAAAGAGAAAGGTGGGGGACTTGGAATTTATGTTAGGAACGATTTGTCGGTAAGCAGAAGGTTTGATTTAGAGCAGTCGAATATTGAAAGTCTATGGGTAGAAGTTAATTTCCCTCACTCTCGCGGATTTTTGGTTGGTACATTTTATCAACCTCCTGAGTCTTCTCGATACTATAATGATGCATTTATGGATCATTTTGAAGATAGTGCTGAGAAAGCCATATCTAATAATAAGGAAGTTATTCTGTTGGGGGATTTTAACTGTAATTTGGCAAAGGGCTCATTGAATGGTAACGGCAAACGGTTAACCTCGACACTCAGAAGTCTAGGGTTCTGTCAGCTGATCAAGGAGGTTACTAGAATAACTGCCTGGTCCGCCACATTATTAGATTTGATAGCGACAAACAACGAAAGGTTTATTAGTAAATCTGGAGTACTTAATGCTTGTCTTAGTGACCATGACTTAGTATATTGTATCAGAAAAATGAATTGTAAGCGATCATCTGGACAGACTAAGTCTTTTAGAAATTATGCAAGATATAATAGCTCGGCTTTTTGTAATGACCTACGAGGGATCGATTGGGAGAAGCAAATGAATTCGACCTCGCTCTGTCTCGGTTATCTTACTGGCTGTTGTTTACCACTCCACAGCATCACGCCAAACTGAAAATGTAGAATTGTATTCACACATTCAAACCAATGTGGACTCATTTTTATATTCCCACCCTGAAGCTTTGGTCCTAATTACGGGCGACTTCAATTTTAGAAGCACGGGTCTCAATGCAAACCATCTTAAAAGAATTGCTGGTCTGACGCAGATAGTCAAGGTAGCTACCAGAGCTGATGTAACTTTAGACTGGTGTTTAACCAACTCAAAGGTGGATAATATTTACGAATCAATCCAACTTCCTCCCATTGGAACCAGTGATCATTATACGATTCTTATGAAAGCCCAACCTTCTCCCTCAAAGCCAGACAATTCACATATATGGAAACGCGATCTCAGAGATAGCAGGATACGGCCTTTTGGACGATATATCACTACATTTGACTGGTCTCCTATCTTGGACATACATGACTGTGATACAAAATATGAAAAGTTTAACGATACAATGACTGTGATGATTGAAAAATTCTTTCCCTTGGAACGGATTAAAGTACGAAAGTGTGATAAGCCTTGGATGACGTCATCAATAAAGTCTGCTATTGGGAGACGCCAAAAAGCCTTACACGAAAGCGGGAAAAATTCAGATATTTATAAATATTGGCGTAACAGAGTCCAATCATGCATTAAAGTTGCACGAAAGATCTACTATATGAGGTCAGTTGAGAAATTAAAAAATTCTAACCCGGCAAGATGGTGGAAAGAAGTGAAAGCCATTGGTGGTCTCTCGTCAAAAAATTCTTGGTATTCTCAGCTATTTTCTGATGATGTTCGGAATTGCGAAGAACTGGCCGAAAATTTTAATAACTTTCTTACTGCCCTTACATCACATTTTGACCCTCTAACTCTCGACGAAATCCAGGAGGGCCTAGAAGTACCAAACCATT